AATACGTGAGCCATTCACAGCCTGGCACACGTATTTGTAAAATCTAAGTGAGTCATACAATATGGAATTCGTATAACATGGAATTATCTACAGTGTTATAGGGGGTCTACCATATATTTGTTATTTTTATTTTTGTTATTTATTGCCTTAAACAATATTTATTTGTAAATATGTTCTTAAAAAGTTTTGCATCATATACTTTATTTATTCAATGATGTCATTTGTTTAAAATTTGTAAAATATCATTCATCTTCATTTGAAGATGTTCTGGCCAACTAGCAGCTTGCAGGCAAGATCCAAAATGCAAGACCATTTCTTATGGCTAATGCAATATTCCTACAATAATCATAAAACTTTCCCATTAGAAACATTTAATATAGTTACAATCAATTGATGAGAAAGAAGGAGAATAAATGTTGAAGAGTGTATGAAGAAATCTGTAAATTTGTGAATTATTCAGCAAAATGTACAAGGTGTGACATAATTACTCCAACAATACCTCCAACAATTCATTTATATGTATATCTGGAAGTCTTTTGTGTATCAGTTTTATTTCTGAGAAATTTGTTGCGGTTGGCTTTGTTCATTGGTAGGCTAAGAGAGAAAATGCAGAAAATAAGAACAGTATTATGTCTTCCCAAGGAAATGGCAGTGTTCATTCATAAAGATCTTGTCTCCTGTTCCCACATCTTCTTGCAAACTGATGTGGTCCAAAAAAGGGTTACAACCATTTTACAAAAGATTATCATGTATTGAAGTGGGGAAACAAAAACTTTAAGATAGCAGTGAGAAATTGACATATCATTGTTAATATTGATAGACTCAAGCCAGTCTACATATGTAAGAAAAACGCAGAATCTGGAAACAGCACAACAATTCAACCAGTCACTTAGACCAATCCTCACACTCCAACAGCTAAAGCAGCAGATTCGCAGCAGCAACAGGACACATTAATCACATGCTCAGGATGTCAAGTGAGATTCAACCCCAGATACTTGTAATATTTCTGGCAGGGGACTGCTGTTATGGTTGCAAACTACTTCCCAAAAAGATGTGAAGAGGCCAGAACAACTGCATAGGAGGACAAGAAGGAGAAGACACAAAGGAATAAACTCTCACTTTTGGACTAGAGGTCTCAGTGTCCAGACAGAAAAAGTCCCACTCTATGCTTTCTAAGTTGTATTGCAAAAATTATTTATATTAGGGTGAGAAATGTGTTATAAATCAATGTTATGTTTTATAATTTATGCCAAGTTATTTCTAAACACTGGCAAGTTGGAACATCCCAACAAATTTAAATATGGCAGCGAGTTCTACACATTGCATTAAAAGCATTTCATATTATATGTATTCATCTACCATGTTAAAAATTGTTAAAATTATTACTTTTTGACTTAAAGAGAAGCCAAAAAGCAATAATTTCAATGTGATTTGTTCTCTAGTAGCATTGATTGAGAATGAGAATTTCTTCAGATTTTGTGTTTTTACTATTTGATAAAATTAGCATCAAATTAATTTGTCAGTCACAAGGAGGTTAATATCTATGACTTTCTGCTTTTGATGTAGTTGAGTTTTGAGATGTAGACTTTTGATGCTTTTGAGTTTTTTTAAATACCACAATGCTATTATTAAAAACATCATAAATTGATAATATTTTATTATTATTATTTTGTTTTATGCTTATTAGAAAATAAATTAAATTTTGAATATAATGACTTCAGATCTTTTCTTATTCCCATTCCTAAGATTGTGAATCTATTTCATAACAAACAAATTTAAAAACATCTTCACTACCATCTAATAAAAAAAGGCAAATTTTCTTCAATTTTACACTACTTTTTATCACTTGTATATTTCATCTTTAAATTGTAATCATTTTCAAAAAATTTAATCAAATTGTTTTGTCTCTAATTACTAATTAAAAGGTTAAATTTACTGCCATCATATTCTTGAAATAAAACTGTTATCATCATTTCCTTTCCAACTTTCAAAATTTTTCTTCCTATTTTAAATTAGTTTGAATATTTTCAAAATTTATTTTGTAGTATTCCTATAACATTAACTAATTGATTGAATTATAACAAGAATCTTGTTTTAGATGTCAGAGACAAAACAAACTTGAGTGATAGCAAAAAATAAGTTAACAAGTATGATAAACAAAACAGTAGTACATTTGTTCATAAAGGACTCTTCTAATTACATCATATAATAAATAATATATTATACAGGTTAATATGCTATTCACGCCAAGTAATATTAATTAATAGTTAAAACTCACTGTGTTCAGCGTTATTAATCGCTTTTTAACGATTAATAACGCTGAACACAGTGAGTTTTAACTATTAATTAATATATTATACTTTATAGATTTTTAAGATTAATATTTTAGGAATTTGTTCATATATTTGAAATTTAATAAATTATTTTTTGAATAATAAACTAATTTATAATCATGTAAAGCAGTTCACCTTGCATTTAAAATGCCTTTAATTTTAACAAAGATATATTTAAATTACCAGATGTTTAGTTTTCGACTTATGTTATTTAATTATTTTTCTATTAATGACATCTGATACTAATCTTAGCATCTGTCTAGAAATAATTTATTTATTCATTATTATTATAATTGAAAAAAAAAAAACTTATTAATTATAATTATAACTTAGCTTATTACAACAATTACTATAATAATATCATAATCTAGCTACTTTTATTACAGTTACAATGCAACTATTCAACATTTTTAATAATTTTAATATGCTAGTAGCAAATAACGAATAATATAGTTTTGACAAAGTCAATATAATAATTTTGTTTTATCTATAAAGATGAAACATATTATTGTAAAATTTAAAATAAAATGTGATACTAATAATGAAATACCATCCATATAATATCATCAAATTCTCACAGTAATAAATACAAAACTTATTTCTAGACAGATGTTTAAATTTGCTGTCAGATGTGGATAGCAAAAAAACAAAAAAAATATATATATATATCTAGAAAACTAAACATCTGGTAATGTGAATACATCTTTGTTAAGAATTGAAACATAGGATAAAATGATACACATTATGAATCAGTTTATTAATTAATGTAAACTTTTGGGCATATGGACATATCTAACAATTTACAGAGTATCATATGATGCAATTATTATAATACTTCCATTCAATAATAATCATTGTTATATTGTAATTTATCTCTAATTCACAAGCATTTAATTTAATTATAAATAAATGGTATCATTTTTAATATTAATGTTATAACAGAGATGCAGAAAATGCCTGATTGTAAAAAGTTTGAGAGAAATTAAAGCAGTTCCATAGTCATTGGCAGTATGAAAAATATTACTATAGTGAGAGCCACAGAAAACAGAACATCTTGACTATGCCTATAGACTTTAATTAAGGAAATCAGTTAAAATGCAAAAATCTTGTGTTTTAAAATTGGAATGTTGTTTACTTTGTTTTTCATCAATTCAGTCACTTGTTACATTTCTGCTTAATTACATTGTTATGTACTTGCACTAAGAATGTGTTGTCTTGGTTACTGAATCACAGTTTCAATTTTTATAAAAAACCAAAAACTAAAGCTTTAAAAAAATGGAGAAAAAAATTCATATTTATTTCAAAATGCTTTTCAACACCATTTAATGGTAAAATTTCATGTCAGCTTGAATTAAAACAAAACATTCACTTGTTCCCTACATAGGAAATTTGCAAATTAATAAACTTTGAAAGAGAAAAACAAATAGTGCCATTATGCAGCGAAGAAAAATATGTACTGTACAGTATACTGTTTTCCTTCGCCAAACAATGCAGAAAAAAAAATAATAAAGTTAACAAAGTTAAATAAAAATAAAATTATAGTAAGTAAGTACAAAATATAAATATGAATATTGTACATAGGATTGTAGAATTAAAGTTATAGACACAATAAGCAAACTTTTTAGTGGCTTCAAAAAAAATAAAGGAAAAGTATGGCAATTAGTCAAATTTTGTGTGTCCAAACACTGAGAAACATAAAAAATTGAGGAGGTAAAATTTTGACCCTTTCTTGATGTTCTGACACTTTATGAGCCTAGAAATATAAAAATCTTTTACAAAAATTGTGTTTATGTTAGTCTATTTTGTAAAAATAAATGGACCAAAAATTTTGAAATTTGGCAAGAATANATAGGCAGTCAAAAACTTTAAAAAAGTTTATTTTTTAGATAAACTTTTTAGAGTTTTTGCAAAAGCAAAAAGTTAGTGCATTTCTTAAGTAATTTTTCAGAAAAAAATGTACAACCATCATGTATTGTCAAATTTTGTGTTTTTGGCTGTCAAAAAGTCCATTAATTAACACTGTGCTAAAAATTCATGGTGTTGGTGATAACTTCAGTTTTATTTTTATTAATCAACATATTACACCAATAGCTGTATGCTTCTTGCCTCTAAAACATTAATAATTATCTCAATTGCAGTTTGATAAGCCTCATATATCTACCAATTGGCTATTGACAAAATTATTAAATTAATATTACACCATGTTTATAATTTTATATGCTGTTTTATAGTGATGGAACATTAAAGCTTGAGCTTATATTAAAGTTTTCTTTTAATTAAAAAAAAAATTTTATGTTAATTTATCCATTTAGGATTGCATATCAATTATGCAGTAAGTCTATTTGATTATTTGTATGGTTTAATTTGAATTTTCCAAACTGCTTAATGATAATTATTAATTCGTTTATAAATTGTTGTTTTATTTGTTGTGCTAATATGCAATAATTTTTGAGTCCTGAAAATATTCTGTATCTCTGATTAATAATTGCTATAATCTATTATATATGCATATAAATATAATGATGTTAAAAAATAAATAACAACATAAAAATAGTAAACTACTTTTTAAATAAAAACATTTGTTGAAAAAATTATTTGTAGAAATGTTATATCATAATAAAGAATGAATTATTTAGGGTAGTAAAGATAAAAGTTAATTGAAATTACCTTTTATTTTTTTTAAGAAACAAAAACATGATACATGTTTGAATAAGTTGTTTCTATTTTCTCTTCAATTTAATTCTTTAAACATTTTCTACTACTTCAAAACTTTTTTAAAATATTCCAACTTTCCTATAAATAAACTTTTTAAATTAAAATTTATTTCAAAAGAATAAAAACAACTGCAACAAAATTCAAATCAAAATTGAAATATTTTCTTTCTTTAAAACAAAGCCATAAAATAATAAAGTTAACAAAGTTAAATAAAAATAAAATTATAGTAAGTAAGTACAAAATATAAATATGAATATTGTACATAGGATTGTAGAATTAAAGTTATAGACACAATAAGCAAACTTTTTAGTGGCTTCAAAAAAAATAAAGGAAAAGTATGGCAATTAGTCAAATTTTGTGTGTCCAAACACTGAGAAACATAAAAAATTGAGGAGGTAAAATTTTGACCCTTTCTTGATGTTCTGACACTTTATGAGCCTAGAAATATAAAAATCTTTTACAAAAATTGTGTTTATGTTAGTCTATTTTGTAAAAATAAATGGACCAAAAATTTTGAAATTTGTCAAGAATATTTCTGCATATAGGGTATTGATGCTATTATATTTTTTGGAGATTGTAAGTCAAGGGAGAGGAGAGATAGAATGGAATAGGGGATCTCATATCTCAAGACATGACTAAAATTTTCATTAAGTCTAACTTAATGAAAATCTTACTCATTATTGTCATTTATAATTTTTTAAAAAACTTGCCCCTATCCCAAAATGAGGATTTTGTCTTTTATAATAATTACTATTAAAAAATTTATATTTTTATAAAATCTCATAACAGATGGCCCACACACAATTTCAACTTTAAGCCACATTCCTAGTGTTTCCTCTTATAATAATCCATTTTTAAACTTAAATATTCTCTTCTGAATAGAGAAATTTTGCATAATTCAGTAAAATTACTCCTTTTAACCTATTATTATTATTATTATTATTTAAATTTTATTCCTATTGTAAGTAAGATATAAGAAATGAACCTCTTCGTAAACACCAGAGGAATTACAATTCATCACATACAAAAAACCTTTATAACTCCAGGGATACTTGTTTACACACCAGCGAACGTTTTTGACCCCATCTGGGTCTTCATCAGGCTACATTTATGAACGTTTATAAATGTAGCCTGATGAAGACCTGGATGGGGTCAAAAACGTTCGCTGGTGTGTAAACAAGTATCACTGGAGTTACAAAGGTTTTTTGTATGTGGTNCACACCAGCGAATGTTTTTGACCCCATCCGGGTCTTCATCAGGCTACGTTTATAAACGTTCATAAATGTAGCCTGATAGATGTTTATTTCTTAATCATAAATAAAAGCTACAGTTTGCATAGAGATATTACAAATTTATTGAAAATAATATTTTTTATAAACAGATAATATATAATAACTAAATATAAGTAGAATAATTTTATTTATTTTATAAAGCCATTCTTCTTGCTTTTTTGATCAAAAATATTGATAAGTTTTTTCAAGATCAATCTTTCTTGATTCATTATAAATCTCAAAATAGTTTTGATCAATTTCAGCTTAGAAAGACTACAATTCACAAAAAGTTATCATCATAGGAATAGTCAAAACACTCTTAGTACTACAGAAATATTTAGAAATGCTTCATCAAATTCATTTTAATGTGTAGAACTAAAATTCAAAGATAAAACGTTTGATAAGCTTCAAAGTTCAATACGAAGATTTCGACAACTCCATTCACTTACACACAGTAAGACCTCGTTTAGTGCTTCCTTGATTAATGCTGATTCAATATAACACAATCTTCTCAGGAATGTGTTTTTCACAGATGAAGCAACATTAGTGATATTTTACAAACTTAGATCACTTTAAGAAGATAAATGCTATTCATTTATAAAAGTCTTTTCTTTATTTTAACTGCATAAAACACTTTTGAGGCTTTGCTAACTCATCATCAGATACAATAAAAGCTCATTTGAACAAAAGAACTAATAGAACATTTATGTTACGAGTTCAAAAAACTTCTGCTTGATGTATAATAGAGCTTTAATAAGTTTAAAGTTCAAAAATATTATTAATCAAAATTGTTCAGGAAAAATTTATGATGCACTTAAATTCCTTAAGTCTTTAAACTGTTAATGTTCTAAAAGTTTTTAAATATTATATGATTTAGAAATAGTGACAATTTTCAAAGTTCTTAAAACTTTTAAAAATTATTTTACGATGATTAAGACTAGGACATAATGTGACTTTGTTATATCATGATAGAACTGAGACAAAACCAGAAATAAAGAAGTGATCCTTGAACTTTTAGGATCAATCCTTGAAATTGAAGAGGAAATTCCTATACCTGACAATTGTAGACAGGCAAAATGCAGTTGCTGTCATAAAGGAGGCTATCCTTGCACCTGCCAGCCACAAGAGAAGTGATACTTGCACTGGATGAGTATGGAGAGAGCATCTCTGCACTTGCTGACACGAAAAGGCAATCCAAGAGCAATTGATGCCAATTTCTTTGTTCTTTTGCACCTATTTTCCATTAAGTGAATGCAATGCTGTTTTTTTATTTTTGAGCCCTAAATTCTGTTAGGTGCACTCAGTTGCATCAGGGGGTAAGGACATTGTCAAAGTGACATATCAAAAATAAAGTCAGGGACTGCTATTTATTACATTTTTAAATTCCTTATCACAATTAATGGAAAATTGCAAAGTTTAGTCAAAATTGATTGATCAAATTTTGCAATTGAATGCAATTTTGTAAGCCATATAGAATAGGCTTTGCTAATATTCCATCTCAAATACTTTAGCCAATGTGCAGATTATCTACAAATAATTTTAGTATTTTATATTCAAACAATCACCTTAATAAATTGGGCTATTAATTTGCTATTTAATGATTGAATACTAAGTAATCTGCTACTATAGGTAGATGTTAGGCATTAAATAGTGAATTTATAGCCAGATTATTTAAAGTGATTGTTTGGTTATATTTCTACATATTTATTGGGCTTTGAGATGTTTGATATACTGTACTTGTATTTTATATTCATTCTATTATTGTAATTTATTCAGAAATTTTATTGAGATTGTTGGTTAAGATATTAAGCTGCAATTTGAAAAAAATTGTATACCTATAAATTTCCACTGTCATCCATCTTTCCTTAATCTTGGGAACAGAGTTAGATAGATGAAAGATGAGACCAGATATGGAAACCTTAGGGGCAGGAGGCTCCGATTAACTATATATGAACTTCCAATGCAAACTGTCAGATATTTAAATATCACTTTGAAATTTGTAAATTGTTTTTAACGCAATCAGTNCTTGCACCTGCCAGCCACAAGAGAAGTGATACTTGCACTGGATGAGTATGGAGAGAGCATCTCTGCACTTGCTGACACGAAAAGGCAATCCAAGAACATAGCAACTGATGCCAATTTCTTTGTTCTTTTGCACCTATTTTCCATTAAGTGAATGCAATGCTGTTTTTTTTATTTTTGAGCCCTAAATTCTGTTAGGTGCACTTAGTTGCATCAGGGAGTAAGGACATTGTCAAGGTGACATATCAAAAATAAAGTCAGGGACTGCTATTTATTACATTTTTAAATTCCTTATCACAATTAATGGAAAATGGCAAAGTTTAGTAAAAATTGATTGATCAAATTTTGAGATTGAATGCAATTTTGTAAGCCATAGAGAATAAGCTTTGCTAATATTCCATCTCAAATACTTTAGCCAATGTGCAGATTATCTACAAATAATTTTAGTATTTTATATTCAAATGATCACCTTAATTAATTGGGCTATTAATTTGCTATTTAATGATTGAATACTAAGTAATTTGCTACTATAGGTAGATGTTAGGCATTAAATGGTGAATTTATAGCCAGATTATTTAAAGTGATTGTTTTGTTATATTTCTACATATTTATTGGGTTTTGAGATGTTTGATGTACTTGTATTTTATATTCATTATATTATTTTAATTTATTCAGAAATTTTATTGAGATTGTTGGTTAAGATATTTTATAAGGCTGCAATTTGAAAAAAATTGTAGACCTATAAATTTCCACTGTCATACATCTTTCCTTAATCTTGGGAACAGAGTTAGATAGATGAAAGATGAGACCAGATATGGAAACCTTAGGGGCAGGAGGCTCCGATTAACTATATATGAACTTCCGATGCAAATTGTCAGATATTTAAATATCACTTTGAAATTTGTGAATTGTTTTTAATGCAATCAGTTCCCGATTAAAAAAAAAAACAGATTAATATAGTTTGATAAATAACAAGAAATAAATATAAGCAGAAGCAATTAGCTTAAAATTAGCAAATTTCTATTGACTAAATAAAAAACTTCAAATAAACCTCATTTTCATCTGCATGATTTTATTTAAATAAACTTCGTTAGCTTTTTAATTCTTTTATTTTTTGTTATTTTAAAACTATATAATTATATTTTTAACAGTAAAATTATACTTAACTTTATTATTAATATGTGGTGGAGTCAAAAATAAATGAAACTTTTAATATAATTTTTATTACTTTAGTAATACAAGTATTTACAAATGACTACTTTCAAAAATAAGTTTCTTCTGCACCTACACACTTCTGCTAGCATTCATACTACTTGTCAAAACATTTCTGGAAGTCGCTTTTTTATGTCTTGAGGGCTTTTGTAACTATATCATTAGCCATATTTGGTTTCCATTAATCATTTATATATGACCTAACAATGCTTACTCAACATCTCTATTTTTCTAATTTGCCCTTGCAGACTTATCTGACTCCTAAAAAGAAAGGGAATTCTTCAGCAAATTGCAGAATCCAATCAGCAGCATAAAGGTGAAAACTGCAATAATGAGAGTCCATACAGACATTAGAAAAAAACACATTTACTAGTAGTTTAGACGCAGGCAAAAATGTAGCTACAATACAAATTTATTTTGAAAATGGTAGGATGTAAGAGTTTCAATGTGCAATAAAGCATTGATTACCCAAAATAATCAAGTAGCATAATTTCAGATAACCAATCACATTTGGTAGGAAAAGAATAAAAAGATAATAATTTAAATAAACTATAAACATTAATTTTAATTCTAGTGCAACAGGAAAAAAGGTTAAGCCATAAAAACTTAATACATACAAATGATAAGAAATGAAAAAAACTTTCTAACTTATTAAAAATAAGTAGTAGTTTTTCATTGCAATCTACAAAATACTAATGAAATGGAATTCAAAGTAAAAAGTACCTAATAGTAAAATTAATATTAAATAAAGTACAGTTATTACACAAAAATTATTTATTACACTTGTTTTTTAAAGAAGGCATTTGTTTTGTTTGATTTTACAAAGTTTTTTCTTTTTAATGCTAAATCCCTGGCATGTTTGATCATCATGAGAGTTGAAAAATCTGCTTATGGGTGCATTTATAACTATGTCAATGCTATTTCTAATGCATCAAATGCTTTACTGAGCCTTTGCTTAGTGGAGAATTTGATCCATTAGAAGCCCCTGACACATTAATCATGCTTTTTCTACTTGCACTGCAATAAGTAAAACCTAACACTAGTGTTGATAATGAGATAGCTTAATAGCAAGTATACAGATCACTGACAATCAATATTATATAAAAAACTTATTAATTTCTGGAATTACTACTTTCTCAAGTCAATGTTGATTAATCAACTTTTTGGATGATTGACACTACTATATCATATAATAAAACCTGCGCCAAAAGTTTATTTTTGACTCTACTATGCATACAGCAATCGTTTATTTCAAAATATGTGAAATTTTTTGTACATTTTAAATTCTTAGTAATTACCTATTATTTCATGGATATATGTTATATGTTTTGAAGCTTATACAAGATAGCTGTAATTAATTTGACGCTATTTACACCTTGTATAGCTCGATCTAACAACTAAAATGGTACCAAATTTGGTGAGAAAACTAATAAAGACATGGAGGAACGATTCTTCAAAAAATATTGTAGTTTCAAATGTTACCAATAGGGAAAAATGTGTTTGCAGCCTACAGGTTTTGATCAGTGTATTATACTGGTAAAAAACTTCAATTAATGCAAATTCACAACAACATAGGTTACTCAGCCTCAGTAATTCTGGCTATGAAGTGATGGAAAAACATAAGAATGATATTGATGTGGCTTCATAGCAGATTTCATTGTAGGGTAATTCTTTATTTCAGGACATTACACCAATAGGATCAGTAGCCTGTTCTGTTATTGCACAGAAAATCATGAAAATTCTGAACAGTTTCATCATTCTGTAACTTCATCAAGGACAATGACAAGACAACTTTTTGCAAGATGGAGCACCAGCACGCATTGCTAAACCTGTACAGCAGCTTCTACAGTGTCACTTCACAGATGAAAGAGATCAGTCAGTTCTTTCTAATTCTTAACAGCTGCCTCCCACTCTAGATCTAACTCCATGCAACTTTTGGCTTTGGAGTTACTTAAAATCCAAGATCTATCTTGGCAGGGTCCCAAACTTTACCTTAACAAACAATGTATCACAGGCTGTGATGAACATTTTTTCAGGCATGTCATGTTTAGCTGTAGAGAATGTTTTGCATAGGATGTAATTCCTGGTCCACAAGAATAATAACCACATTAAAACTTGTCCAATTCAGAACAGGGAAAGTGAATGTGCGCTGAATAAAAAGGTGACGATTCTGTTCACTTTCATCATTGTTGTTCATTCATCTGTCCATTGTAATGCTTTTTTATGTTATACAGTGCCACATTTTTCCCTAACAGACTTTTGAAACTACTAATTTTTCATACAATCCTTCTTCCCAATTTTCACTAGTTTCTGCATAAAATATTATACCTTTTCGGTTGTAAGATTGAGCTACACTAGTGTCAGTTTAATTACAGTCACCCTGTACTACTATTGTGTAATCAGCCAGTCTAAAATGAAGTGCACAGTACATTATAAAATTGTGATATACAGATATTACTTTAGTTTTTACAAAAAAATTGGAAACATTTTTAACAACATAAATTTATTTATAAGTTAATCATAAAATGGGTACCTGATATTTGAAATATAAAATTTTTGTCTTGATAAAAGTAACCACGTTTTCAGAATAAATTTTATCATGATCATTTTAAATTTTCCTGCTGACATTGGACAATAAATAGTTCACCTATTTTCCAAAGACATTGCTCTATAAAAGAAAGAAAATAAATTTAAAAATAAACCAAAATTACATCTGTAAAAATTAAAATAATGGTTTATAACTATAGCTAGCTAATAACTCTTATTTTGTTTTTGTTCTTACAAAGAATTTTATATCACATTAATCCACAGAACAATTGTTTATGAAAATTCACTTTTTAAAATTAAANATTCTGGTATGACTCAGTTTATGTAGTACTTTACACTTCACCTCTCACAGGTCATGACTGGAGGATATGATGACTCATGACTGCTCCACTTCTTAGACACAGATGGTTCCAACATTGTAATAAAACTATAATACTAAATAATTAAACAAAAAAACAGTATATGAAATGCTATAAGAAAACAAACTATATTAACTGCAGGCTAATAAATGACAAACTGGTGTCTAAACAACAGGATGCTGTAAGGTTAAGTATGGTTGGACCTATATTTAAGGCAATTTCTACTCTACGATCCTTTTAACAAGCAACTTCTTCCCTCCTAGTTGCTCTCAGTTTTTCTAGGTGTTTGTGTGTTGTGGTCTATCTTGTATTCTTTTATTATTTTCAAATATCTATCATGATCCCAAAACATGTATCATCTGGCCAAGAGACAAAAAACAACGTAAACCATTGACAATTGAATTCTCTCTAATTAAAGAAAAAATGGAAACTATTTGGTGAATGGAGAATAGTGAAATTCAAACCAGAGACATCTACTTTATTATTTTTAAAGAGTAAATTCTCTTTCTTTTTCTTAAATATTAAACAATTTTTAGTATTTAAACTTCATAAAAGAAATTACAATATGTTGATTATTAAAAATCATGGAACAAAACCTAACATATTTACATTTATTCTTATTATATTTTTACTTCAATTTATATCGCTTCATTTTAGCCAAAAATCTTAAAAAGTTAACCCTGGTGTAAACCAAATTATACCTTTATATACACCAGTGTTTTTCAACCTGGGGGTCGCAAAGCCTTACACGGGGGGTCGCGGGTAGAGTACAGTAATGTTATAGATAACAGTGCATTTTTACCTATAAAATTATGATTTATATATATATATATATTTGCTTTGTTGGATTTATCATTTCTATTATAATAATTAAGGTAATGTGATAAATGGATACAATAATAGATAAATTCAAAGAACAGCATCTAGAGATCAAAAACTTAAGATTTCATCATATTTGTAAGATAGATTTGTAACTTTTAGTTTTTTAGAACATTTTTAAAGTATTCTCAACACCATTCAAATTTCATTTGACTCATTAGACCAGAGGTGATGCTATTTTATAATTAGAAGGCTATATCTGATTTCAGAGGAATCTCATTCATAAGGCTGCTTTTTGTATAGCAGGTTAATTTAAACACAAATTATGCACATGTTATAATAAAATAAATATACCAAAGTAAAGATTAAAAGTGTGTACTATTGTTCTTTACACTAGAACTTTTTCAATCTTGAAAATTCTAAAAACTTGTTACAAAATAAAACAAAAATTATTGATTACTGTAGATATTCTAAAAGATAATTCTGTAATGATCTTTTGAATTTATAAGGTTGAAAAAGTTCTGCTATAAAGAATGAAATATTTGCTTTAACTATAAGTTTAGTTTATTTTTTATTTTACTTTAATATTCTATGTGCATAATATGTGCTTAATTTTATTACTGTAATAATGTTCAGACATCCATTTGGATATATACAGCAGATTGCTTAAATTTATACATAAATAGTTGAATAAAACACAACTTTCATAACTCAGAATTCATATCATCAAACTTAAACTTATACTATTTCATATTTTATCAGGATAAACTAGAAATTAAAGAAGGCCAGAAATTCTCCGCATTTGCATTAAACAATAAAACAAATTACTAATAATATCTGAAATATACGTTATCTTTTAATTTATGAAAAAAAATGTATCATATAAATTAACTAAAAATAATCTTTAATACAGAAAACAATGACTGTATGATGTATATTAATTTTCACACCAAAAATCTTTAATCAAGCAACGACTTTTATCATCAAAACATTTTTAAGAAATGTTATCCTCATCTTCAGCAGCCTACATACATTACATTCTAACAGGATTTTTTAAATGTTCAAAAAATCCTGTTTGATTTAGAATTAACATATGTAGATCACTGAAGATGGAAGATAATACTTCATTTAAATATTATCATAAGTTGGTTTCTCAAATACAAAATGTTGACAAGATCAAATTTCTATGGATTAATATATAAAATTCTGTGTGTAGTGTTTTCTAATCATACAACTTGTAATGAAACTTTTAAATTAAATATATTTAATTTTCCGAACCTATTACTAAATATGATATATTAAACACATTAAAAAAGTGTTGTAATATAAAAATAGTCAGCTAAAATGTGTTATTTTATAATTTTCCAAATGAGTATAGTACACATAATGGAAATTATATTATACAAAATGTTTGTTTATTTTGCTTTTTAATATTGTTGTTTTTGTTTGTAATACTGTTGTTATTGTTGTTTAATATTTTTACCATTTATTATATCAATATAATCAATCTTAGGTTTGCTGAAGAGAGTCTACTATATAGATAACACTATCCTAAGTGAGTTTTTTTAGCTATAGTAGCTATAATCTCGATTTTACTTTAAAAAATATTATAGCAAAGCATGAAAAAAGATTTATTAAAGCACTTCAAAACTTTCAATATAATTCCAAAAATTTATAATAAATCAAATTAAATTATTATTCATTAATTAAAGACTATAATTATTAAAGTTTTGAATAATGTGTAGTGCTTATTTATGTATACCCAGTACAAGTTGTTGAATTAAAATTTATATTAAAAGAGTATTTAAAGTATTTTATTAAAAAAATAATCCCTTATATATATATATTCTGGTATGACTCAGTTTATGTAGTACTTTACACTTCACCTCTCACAGGTCATGACTGGAGGATATGATGACTCATGACTGCTNTTTAAGCGGGATTAAGGTTTAAGCAGAATTAAGTTAAGCCGCATTGCCGAAAACAAGTTTAACTACTTGTTCACACTAGGTAATTAAAGCGAATTATTCGCTTAGCCCTCAAGCGGGTGTACTCAATATTACATTTTAAATAAAATCAAACTTTTGCTTATTTTTGATAAATCATGATAAATTAATTTATATTTAGAAATTTAAAATATAAGTAACTTATTTAAAATGCATAAGATGTTAGTTAGGAATTATTAACATTTATTATCAGTGTTGTCGTTGGCAGCACGATTCTCTCAATGTTTATATCACTTTAGTGATAGACTGTGATAAGAATGGATTCTCGACAGAAATATATATTATTATTATTATTTAAACTTGTTGTACTGAAGCAGTGTATACATGCTATCAGAGAAGAGTCTCATTTGCTCGAACATTTGTACATCTGCTTCTGCCATTATTTTTGAACTTGTGGCGAACCTCGAGGAAAGCTTGAAGCAACTTAAGCTTCTTTGAGAAAGCGATTTAAGCTGAGCCGGTTGTTGGTAGTTAAACCTGTTTAACGTTAAGTCAGTTCCGTTCATATTTCATACCTTAAGTTGGCTTAGTCATTTAAGCTGGCTTAAAATATACAGTGTGAATAGGGTATTACAGACAACACAAAAACAAGAACTGGAGTTGAAGAATTTATTACAAGAAGAATTACCTAAATTCAGAGTTAATAAAAATAGGGAAAATAAAATAATAAAAAAGTCCAAAATGGAAATTCTAAGGCAATTTTTAGAACAGAATAAGTTAACAATAATTAAAGCTAAAGACAAAACAGGTGATAGTCATGAATGAACAGAATGAGAAGGATGTAGTGTGTTATTAGAACCTTTGAGGAGTGGCAAACTTTGTTGAGGCCTGAATGCCATAGTAAGCATACCTAGCTTTAAAGATTTTTATGCAAGCCAATGTTTTAGACTTCAAATAATGATATTTCAATAAATTAAACAAATATGCTTTAATTAGAATAAATGTAAAAAAAGCTGATTGAAATGAAGGATGATCAGGTGATAAGAAAAAAGGATGATTGAAAAAGACAGATGATAAATTGAAATCATATGATACATTACATGCCAGATGACATGCCATTTTGGGCACATGTGTATCAAATGTTTGATGAATAAATAAATTTAAGTTTAGAATGTAAAATTTATTTTAAGATGTACTGTACTTTAAAGAATTTTTTTATTATTATGTTCTAATTTAACAATAGATAACAAATCATTAATAATCACTGTTTTTTACTAATAACAATCATAAGAATTTGTTAAATCATTCAGTACCATAATATTGTATATTCTTCCCCCACTAAATAAAAATTAGAAAAATTCTCTCTGCTGGAGACTATTAACATCCTGTCAGATTTGTATGCATCTATATACAAGTAAAAATTTGAACTGTGGGTCCAGAAGCATAGTGATATCCTAATGAATTTTATTCAGTTTTCCTTGCATTGCTTCTAGCTAGGCTGAACACACACAAAAGTGGTCCTATTTTTTTTTAAACATTCTTAACAAATAGCTTAGTAGAATCTTATAATTTATATACTATATACTACATATTTTAGTTTGGTTTTGGTAGTTTCGTCCTTGCATCCTAAATATAACTCAATCAAGTATTTGCACTTATCACTTATAAAATACTGGCTCTTCATATTCCATAAATAACTAACTAAATATAAATAACTAGTTTTAAGAAAATAGATGAACCATGAGTTTGATCTATTTAATGTAGTTTAATCTAGACAAGTGCACTATAGTATTTATTATAAAATATTAATAAGATGTCTATATTCCATGGAAAGGAAGAGGATAAACATGAAGGAAAGAATGAACTAGGAAAGGAATTTGAACATGTGAGAAGAGGATAAATGTAATAAATGTAAAAAACAAAAACGATAAGTTGAAGGACAACAGGAACCATTTAAGCATTAACATCTGGTACTTAAAAACATGCCTTAGAAAAGAATTATCACTCCTTACACTACAGTTACCAAGAAGTATTATAGAATATAAGCAAAAAAAATTATGTAAAAATTGTATAAAAAGTAATATTAAAGTCTGTTATTAGATACAAAAAATAGAGTAAAAAAGTTAACTAGGCAGATTAAAAAATTAAGCGATATAGAAGTTAGAGGCAAATTTCAGTATCCTCCTAAAAAAATCCAGTCATATTATGCTTTCTAACATAATATGACTGGATTTTTAAAACTGGTTAGTTAAAAAAACTTACTTATCCTACAATTGAAGAAAGAGAGGCTTGGTTAAATAATAGTAAATTTAACTAACATAGATATCAATGGAATTGTATAAATTATTAAATAAAGGATGAAATTTTAAGTCTAAGCACAGTATGCTAGACAGAGGGTAGTCAGATTAAAAATTATTATTAATTTGTTATACCCTATTCACACTGTACATTTTAAGTGGGATTAAGGTTTAAGCAGAATTAAGTTAAGTTGCATTGCCGAAAACAAGATTAACTACTTGTTCACACTAAGTAATTAAAGCGAATTATTCGCTTAGCCCTCAAGCAGGTGTACTCAATATTACATTTTAAATAAAATCAAACTTTTGCTTATTTTTGATAAATCATGATAAATTAATTTATATTTAGAAATTTAAAATATAAGTAACTTATTTAAAATGCATAAGATGTTAGTTAGGAATTATTAACATTTATTATCAGTGTTGTCGTTGGCAGCACGATTCTCTCAATGTTTATATCACTTTAGTGATAGACTGTGATAAGAATGGATTCTCGACAGAAATATATATTATTATTATTATTTAAACTTGTTGTACTGAAGCAGTGTATACATGCTATCAGAGAAGAGTCTCATTTGCTCGAACATTTGTACATCTGCTTCTGCCATTATTTTTGAACTTGTGGCGAACCTCGAGGAAAGCTTGAAGCGACTTAAGCTTCTTTGAGAAAGCGATTTAAGCTGAGCCGGTTGTTGGTAGTTAAACCTGTTTAACGTTAAGTCAGTTCCGTTCATATTTCATACCTTAAGTTGGCTTAGTCATTTAAGCTGGCTTAAAATATACAGTGTGAATAGGGTATTACAGACAACACAAAAACAAGAACTGGAGTTGAAGAATTTATTACAAGAAGAATTACCTAAATTCAGAGTTAATAAAAATAGGGAAAATAAAATAATAAAAAAGTCCAAAATGGAAATTCTAAGGCAATTTTTAGAACAGAATAAGTTAACAATAATTAAAGCTAAAGACAAAACAGGTGATAGTCATGAATGAACAGAATGAGAAGGATGTAGTGTGTTATTAGAACCTTTGAGGAGTGGCAAACTTTGTTGAGGCCTGAATGCCATAGTAAGCATACCTAGCTTTAAAGATTTTTATGCAAGCCAATGTTTTAGACTTCAAATAATGATATTTCAATAAATTAAACAAATATGCTTTAATTAGAATAAATATAAAAAAACTGTTTGAAAAAAGGATGATTGAAAAAGACAGATGATAAATTGAAATCATATGATACATTACATGCCAGATGACATGCCATTTTGGGCACATGTGCTATAAGTTCACCACCCTGTTATAGACCATTATTTTTATAATTTAGAAATTTTATGAAAGATAAGTTAAACAGCTTAGAGAAACAACATATAGCATACAACACATTTATTTTGTACAATTATTTTGTACAAATATTAACATAAACAAATTTAAATCAACATATAGAATAGCATTGTGAAATAGATGGAGTATGTATCTGTCAAACATCTATAATTAATGAAATGCTAAAACTGAAAATTTGCCCACAATGGTTATATAATTTAGTATTTCTAGCATTAGAATAATTACTTTATGCACAATAATAAATTTTATATACAAATAGATGGTATTGCAATGGGCTTTTGTATTGGTCAAATTCTTCCTGAATTAAGCATGTCAAAAATAGATTATGGATCAATTATGGATTGTCATAATTGATATAAAAGGAATAGTAAGTTTTTATCATTATGCTAATGATTGTTTTATAATCCATAATAAAAATGCAATAAACAAAAATAACATTTTAAAAATTGTTAACCAAATTGATAAAAATATTCAGTTTGATTTTGAATCAGAAAAAAATAATGAGTTATCTTTCTTAGACATCTTGATAGTTACACCCTATGATAATGTTAAAATCAGAAAATATAAAAAACTGTGCACTGTTGACACTGTTATACAACATACATCAAAAATAACTACATATATTAAACAGAATGTTTCTTGTATTTATATTAATAAGATATAAACAGTGACACCCACTGATGAAAGTGACAAAAAAAGGGATACAGAGGAAATTATCAAAATGTATTTAATAAATGGCTACAGTAAGAAAATTCACAATTGGATAAATATCATAAAAGAATAAGTGGAAAATAAAAGGAAAAAATAAGTTAAACCAATATCAAATTTTTTAAAATAAAGTATGAAAAAATATTTTTGAAAAATTTAAAAATTAAAGTATTATGGAATTATTTTATTACACATTATAGAATATAAGCAAAAAAAATTATGTAAAAATTGTATAAAAAGTAATATTAAAGTCTGTTATTAGATACAAAAAATAGAGTAAAAAAGTTAACTAGGCAGATTAAAAAATTAAGCGATATAGAAGTTAGAGGCAAATTTCAGTATCCTCCTAAAAAAATCCAGTCATATTATGCTTTCTAACATAATATGACTGGATTTTTAAAACTGGTTAGTTAAAAAAACTTACTTATCCTACAATTGAAGAAAGAGAGGCTTGGTTAAATAATAGTAAATTTAACTAACATAGATATCAATGGAATTGTATAAATTATTAAATAAAGGATGAAATTTTAAGTCTAAGCACAGTATGCTAGACAGAGGGTAGTCAGATAAAAAATTATTATTAATTTGTTATACCCTATTCACACTGTACATTTTAAGTGGGATTAAGGTTTAAGCAGAATTAAGTTAAGTTGCATTGCCGAAAACAAGATTAACTACTTGTTCACACTAAGTAGTTAAAGCGAATTATTCGCTTAGCCCTCAAGCAGGTGTACTCAATATTACATTTTAAATAAAATCAAACTTTTGCTTATTTTTGATAAATCATGATAAATTAATTTATATTTAGAAATTTAAAATATAAGTAACTTATTTAAAATGCATAAGATGTTAGTTAGGAATTATTAACATTTATTATCAGTGTTNTATATATATATCAATTTTAATTGCAGTTGTAACAATCCTAAAAGTTATGCAGAAGAAACAGGAAAAGAATTAAAATGAAATTTAAGGAATATTTCTGCAAATAAAAATCATGATGATAATTCAGCAGTTGCTGATCATTGTAAAAATGATGGTTTGTGAAATAGTTAAATATACTGTTAAAATAATCTGCAACGAATCAAATACATTTAGAAGACTTCTGTGTTAATACTTAAAATAGTAAAAAAAAAAAAAAAAAAAGGTAACATCATGAATAACAATTCCTGTTCAAAATTCACAGTTCCTGTTACTAGTATTTAATAGAAAGGGGCCCACAGGAAGGTCTAGATTTAGTGGTTTATAAAGGAAGTGTGGTTACATGATTTTAATGTCTTGTCTATTGGTTTATCATCTTTCATTATTTCAAATCTATCTTTGGAAATATTAATAATGGAAGCAAGTTGAAAATGTTAGTGTGTAATATTGATTAAACTTATCAAATAGACTAAGTATTTTGGAGAAGATAATATAATTTTGTAATTTAATATTTTTCTGTAATAATATGCCATTATAGTCAGCATGTATCAATTCAAGTATCCAAAGATCATTAAGAAAGGCAAAGACAAACACGGTTTACATGCAATAGTCTATGTAAATTTGGTCATATATATAAATTATAATGTTATATCAGTTAGTAACAACACATAAAACTAAAAATGATCATGATTGTGTTAATTTTATTAATACTATTTGAATAAGTTGGCTGAAGAGAGATTCCGTCAGAACTGTATACCAACAAAGAAAACCTTAATGAAAGTGACATACTAAATTCATAGCTTGTCTATTTTCCTAAAACAGCATAAGCCTAGGCTTAGAAAGCTATCATTATGCTTACATCTGTAGTTTAAGCTAGACAAGAAGCACACTATACTACTTACATTTTTGGTAGAAGCGCATCTAGGTAGCCACAATGGTGGTACTTTCAAGACAATGGAGTTTAATTATGACTATGCTGGCTTTGATTAGCCCATTTGACTGTTTGTGGAGTACTTGATGTTATATAGTTTTAGGGGGTGTGGGGGCACGCCACCACCTGGGCGCTGAGGTGAGAATGATAGCAAGCACCAAGGCACACATCAACATGCAAAAAATTGCACATACAGGTATTGTTCCTTTGACTTTTTTGTTCCTATGACTATACTCTACAGCTCTGTCAAGGTCCCAACTGTCTCATTCAGAGCTTGAATTGACCCATGCAGCACCGTAAAGATAAACTTTGGTGAAACTGGTTACAGCATTTTCGTGAAATGTTGTCCTATACGTGGTGGAAGTTTCTTATGATATTTTACACGGTACGAACGGCTTACAACTTTAACAGAATACCAATACCCTCTGGCAGAGAGAAAATTTGCCACTATTACCAAAATTGTATTAGAATTATGTTGCAATTTAAAATATACAGCTTATGGTAAGAGTATTTTTCTCTTCGTTTATTTTATTTACTCTTACCAAATAAACTAAGTTCTATCATTGATTTCTTCATTTAAAAACGAAAAAGTTATTCTTGAAATACTCGACGCAAAAAACTCACTCTCTTTGATATATTTTAACAAGAATATATCAAAATATTCTAAATGAGGAAACAGTAATCTATTAAAGCAAAACTTTCGTTTCTTATTCGTCAGTGACGCCATTTTTAAAAACAATCTTATGAGTAATAGCGTTGCCAGATAAATAAATTAATATAATTTAAAAAAAAAATTGTAATTGTCGTTTATACGCTAAATTAATGTGCTTTACATTTATTCGTCAAATAAATTATATATAGTATTTCTTTACATAACTAAACTAAAACTAATGTTTATTTTTTTAAAATTTAGTTTCGTAATATAATCCTTTTTAAATATTTGTTACAAATTATAGATCTTTCTTCTAAGTCCGAATAGCTTCAATCTTTTCGCTTTATTGAGCGATTGTTAAAATTTATTTTTTAGGCTTACCGTATAGCCTATTGTAAATTTATAAAATGAGACACCGTTAGATAAGAAAGGAATTGATGACATACAACAATGCAACACATGGGCGATCTGTCAAAAAGAGATGCATTTTTATGGTAACTGGTTCATATTTAGGTCTTAGAAACGTGAAGAAAACTTGAAAATTCCACGTAGTCAGGTCGTTGGTCAAGTGCGAACCCACGACCAACTACAGTAGAACCCCTCTAGTCCGCCCTCGGCTAGTCCGTCGCTCCGGTTAATCCGACCGTGGTCGTAGTCGAGAAACTTGTCCCGACTCGTCGGTGACTCACCGTCCGTGGCGTTTTTCTGTGTTCGTTACAGTATATGTTTTACATTGTGTGTACGTTTACAGTTTTGTGTGTGTTTTCAACATGTCGGGAGTGAAACGTAAACACGTTACTCTTTCATTAAATGAAAAATTAGCGGTGCACAAAGACTGGACAAAGGGAAAGATTGTTATTTTACTTTTTTCTGATAATCCGACTTTTTTTGCGTTCCGACCATACCCCCAGTCCCAAAGGTGATGGATTAGAGGGGTTCTACTGTACTAGTCTTCAGTGGTTTTTCACTCGACTACCGATGGACGATTCTGAAACCAGATGATGCCGTGCAAAAAAAAAAAAAAAACTGTACTCAAAGTTTTCTTCAACAATTCTTTGGTTTCATATTGTGATGCATATTCGTCCACTCTATATGTGCTAATAGCAAAAATAAATTTTAATTAGTAATCAGTAACGCAGTTCATATTGATAAAGCGTGTGGTATTATTAACTTATTACCATTTAAATCCAAAATTTAAACAATAGAAATGTTTTATTGAAATAAATTAATTTGAAAGTGCAATAAATATAAATTAGTACCAAACAAATTAACTGAAAAAACCAGGAGAAAGTAAAAACCGCTCCGAAGATGTTCTAGAAAACAGAGTTGTACAGTACGGTAAATCTAATTATTATACGTACTGTATATGATTTGAATTTTTAATTAAAAATTATTAATAGGTCATAAATTACAATGACCATTGTAATTTTTGTAATTATTTGCAATGGTCAATGTAAAAATTACAATGACCACATTAAATTTCTGATTATCACAAGTTTTTAAATGTAATTAATAAAAAGTAAATACAATTAATCTAAAATCGTATAATTAGTAGGCCTATATAAAGCATTTGTCAATAAAATATAAAAAGATCAATCTATAATCAAATCTAATATTTTGAATTAGTTTTGCTGATGATAAAAAAGTGTTATCATTAAATGGATGTTTTATCTGTTATTGATATAGAGAGAGGGTGTATTAAAACAATTTTGTAATTCTATCAATTTTAAAGGGTGAGTACAATAATAAATTATTACTTGCATTTTTTGAATTTAATTATTTAAAGAACTAACGAAATATTTATTGTAAAATAAATTAATCATTTCCCAGAATAATTTGAAAATTTTAAAATATGTTTAATGCAGTGAGTAATTAAAGTTGAAATGTTCAAGTACAGATTTATTACTGTATTTGATTCTTTATTGATTTTGTAAATATTTCTTAGACATCTATATAGCCTATATACATATAATGCCTGTCTATATGTTCCTATTAACTCCTAAACCCTTCTGATATGGACCATATCAACCTACTAGAGGCACGGTCCATATAGAAAGGATTTAGGGCTACTGGTTAAAACTACTGAACAATCGTAATTGATAATGAGTAGTGCCTAATTAACGAGTTGGCCGCGTGAGTTTTTCGAATTTTCTTCACTTAAATAGGAGTTACTTTTCTCTAGAAAGTCCTCTCGGAAGGTACTGCCCCTCGGCAGTTCGCCGATGTGTTTCATTGCCTTATCTTATCAATCTAATCCATTCCGATCCGAACCAAATTTGCATAGTTACTTTCTAGGACCAGCGGAAAATATAGGCTGAACACGTCACCCTCCCTGATTATCCCTTGACTATAAATAACCATGTATCATAAATATAATCAATAAAATAATGAACAAAATTTAAATTTATTAGATTTTCTTTCTAACAAAGAAAAATTAGATATCAAACAGTTATGAATACCGAAAAATCATTAGTAAATCAAATCAATAAATTGTTATTGATTTGCAAACATATCTGGACGTACATATGTGTAAAATAATTTGCTAATCACAGAATGCAATGAAAGAAAATGATAATTTCTGTATCTATGAACCGAGTAATTGATGTTAAATAATTTATTAACCTAACTCTCAATTTGATGTTTGAATATGTCTAAAGCTGAATATTCACTTATTTCTTTATAATAAAAGTATTTTTTGTCTTTAGAACTTTTATTTTTGTTGAATGGGTGTTTTCAACAGAGGAAATGTGTACATTTCTTTATTGCTTCTATCCAAAAAAAAAAATCCAGCAACGAGTTGCGTAACTTTCCCGGCTGTTTTAATTTTTTTTATTTAAAANTTTGGCCACCAATTTAAAGCTTTTCATCTTTAAAATTGGCGTTTCCACTTACCAGGACGGGAACCCAGGGGTTGGATTTTTGGGAAGCGAGTGTTCGGGTTGTTTCATTTTGTTCAATTACACAGAACGGAAAAAAAGTTCAATTTTATTTTTTAAAAATTAAAAAAATTTGAAGAAACTACGTCTTCTTTCCGCCATGTCCAATCATCAGAAAGCAATAACAGTCTTTCTTCACAGAGGTGACCATTTTGATTAAAATTGTATATACAGTAGATACCCCTATAACGCGGAGATTCGTTCCTCGTTATACGAATTTCGCGTTGTAGGAATCCTTAAATACGTGAGCCAATCACAGCCCGACACGTGTGAAGTTTACGTTTTACGGCTGTTTGAAAGGTTTTCTTCCATAAAATTAATCGATTCTAGACTAATTCGACTTAACATTTCCAAACCACGTATAATTTTTTGGGAATAATCCGTATAAACTATGCTATAAACAAAAAATTGTAGGATTACTTACCGAGTGTGCACCGTTCGACTACGCCGTTGCTCAAGCTTGTTTTCGTCGCGGAACAGCGCACGAAACGGCGGCCGCGATTTCTGATAACGAATTTTTCGCAGAAAAATAACTTGACCTTTGGAGACATCATTAATATAAATAATTTTTATGGCCGTTGAATAAGAAATGTTTCTTTCACAAGAAATGTATAAAATTAGTGCTGTATTAGACTTACGGTACCTAATTTACATACTGTACAGACGATAGTAAACTCAACTTACTCGCCTAAACTCTCCGTAGCGTGACGCTGGACGGCGGAAAGTATATATATAATTATAATAAAATTAAAATAAATTAAGTTAATATATAATTATATATACAGTGCCTAATTTATATATAATACTGTACAGACGATAGTAAACTCAATTTACCCGCCTAAACTCTCCGTAGCGTGGCGCTGGACGGCGGAAAATAGTTCGGTTGCTCGTCCGCGATGACGAGTTGGCGATGACGTTTTACCGCGTTATATGCGTCCCTTTTAGCGTCTTTATACGAATATTGTCGCAATTTTTTTGCCGCGTTATAGAAATCTACGTTATAGGAATTCGCGTTATAGGGGTCTACTGTACAGTATATTCTTTAGTTGGCTAATCATCAATTAACTTTTTAAACTGTTTTACATAATTCTGCAGAGGCGTAGTCTACAATATATGGTGGTCTCTGTGAAGAAAGACTGTTATTGTTTTATGGTGACTGAACATGGAGGAAAGAAGACGACTTACTGTTAGTTCTTTCAAAATTTTTAACTATTTAATATAATTTAATATATTTGATAATTACCCAACTTATTCTTTTGAAAATTAACTTTATATTTAAAAATAATTATAAAGTTTGTGTACAGAAAAATTAAAATTGGGAGATACTTAATCTACAATAATTAATCACTAATAATTAGTCAAATAAATAATTAACAATACATCATGTTGTTAATTATAGGGGGAGGAGAGAGGGAAAGAGAAGAGAAGAGATGGGAGGAAAGTTGAGTAAGAAAGATTATAAAACAAACTTGATTTGCTTACAAAAATCAAATTTTGGAAATTAAGTTATATTTTATAAAAAGTTCTAAAATCTGAACTGGTCGAAAAATCCCCAAGAATTTTTCGAGGGGTGGTCCATCCGGATATGTTGGGTCCCGTCCTTCACCATCCGGTGGGTCTGGCAAAACCCATAATGGGCTTGCTAAAAGAGACCCTCTTAGTGCCCACAGGGCGGAAAGAGTTATTATTTAAAAAAAGATATGAAAGTGCTTGGAGTATTGGCTCTAATAAAAGAGTTTCCTTGTATAAACAATACACAATTGTTTCTGAACATAATATATTTTCTCTGTAATTTTTATTGTGTAGTCTTTAGACAATAAGAAAATTGTAAATGATATTCAATACTATTTAAATTATTAAAATTGAATTATTATTATTTTTTTAATTTAGGAAAATCACAGTGAACATAAAATGGAAATCATCTCTTTCTTGAAAAAGCTACGAATTGAACCGTTTATGTTTTTTGTAGTATTTACTCTCACAGTCAGAGAAGTATCTCAACAGAATTTAATACTTAATAAAGTTTGCAGAATTCACTTCAATTATCCAGAAGATATTTGTAGTAATCTTACGGCTTATAAAACTGAACGCCAAGCCGTTGAAAGCGTGTCAAGTCATTATAAAATGGGATACACTCTAGTTACCATATTACCTTCCATAGCAAGTGCAACATTATTAAGTCCGTGGAGTGACAAATATGGTAGAAGATTTCCCATGATGGCATCAACATGTAGCTTAATTTTAGAAAACATTGCATTGGCAATAGTGAGTGCATTTCCATCTGCTCCTGCTTATTTCATAATTATAGCTGGAATTCCAGCGGGAATTTTCGGAGGATTTGTAGTGGCATTTTCTTCTATTTATACATATATTTCTGATGTCACGCAAAAAGAAAATCGAACAATTAGATTCGCCATTTTGGAAATTGTATTCATTCTAGCTACACCTGTAGGAATTGAAACAGGAGGTCAAATTTATAAATATTTCAATGCTACTATAGTTTATGTGACAGCTATATTAGCATTGTTGAGCAGTTTTATTTGGGTTTTCTTCTTTGTCCCAGAAACTCGAATTAGAGACGAAAAGAGCACCTTTAAGGAAATGATCCAGCATGTGTTTCAACTAGATAATCTAAAAGAAAGTATTCATACGTGTATTTCTCCCCGTCCTGGTAATATTAGGGCACAAATATGGTTAATAGTTTTTGCTATGACTGTCACTATGATGTGTATTTTAGGTAAAATTTCTTTTTATTAAATTTAGATTTACTGATAATTTTAATATATTAATGTTATATACTATTAATGATCCATACTATTAAAAAGATTTGATTAATTCTTTTATGATACTGTTTAAAATAATAATTTAACAAAAAATTTCATATATTATTAATACGAGAATGGTTCAGGGTGTACATAAGCCTTTTATCTTTAAGCTTTTTAGCCTTTACAACAAAAGATGAAATAGGTTTACTGTATATTTCGGAAAAATGCCGAATTTTTCTTTAAACTTTTGTTTTTCCTGACTCTAAATGTTTTGAATTTTCTATTGAAAGAATAGTTGATGGTGATTCTGGGAGAAGACAGAATATGGAGTGAACATTTATCTACTTCTAGTGTTTGCCAAATCAATGTGTAGGAACAGTAAACGTGTAGAAAGTACACATATACTGTTCGTATACAATAATTTTTATGCAAAAGGAAAGAATCGACAAACTCGATACGTGTCTATGGGAACATTTGTTTGTTTATACATACCTGACCGTTTCCGGAAAAAAGAAAACTCAATGTTAAATTTATTTAAAATCTTATGCGATAATTTTATTTTTAAATTTTAATATGTAATGTAAGATATTATCATAATTTCACGTCGATAACCCGCGAGGTATCTGAAATTAACAGTCAGTGAGAATTACGCAAAGGTTTTATTTTTAGTTTTACTAATTTTTTGGATTTTCGTTCGTGCGGATTATATTTTATTACGGTAATATTTATACAGTATTGTCTAATAAAATTACTGTTATTATAATCATTACTATTAATTAAATTAATGTTTCTTGTTTTTTAGGTTCCAGCGCAGTAGGGTTTTACTTTTCACAAGAAATGTATAATTGGACAAATGATAAATATTCCACCATATCTGCTGCAGCTAGCCTGTTACGCGGACTGGCACTTATTATCGCTGTTCCTATTTTCACAAAAATATTGAAAATACCAGAAGGTATAATTGGTGTAATAGGCATTTTCTCAATACTTGGAGAAAATATCATCAAAAGTTTAGCTTACTATCCATGGCTGTATTATTATGGTATATAACCAGTTCAGACACCATTATTTTCTAGGATTTATCGACTCCAAAAATACTAGCCAATCAACTTTATTTTACTCAGATGCATTTTGGAAATTACAATATTTTCTTCCTCAGCAGACTTTCTTTCATATAAGCTAAACAAGGCACAAATACTTTTTCAATACTCTGTTAAAATATTGAAAAATTGTGTGAGTTTTTTNTATAATTTAATTATATACACAAAACTTCAGATTATTTTCGTAATATCCAAACTCTTAATTCCTAGGTTAATGGCTCGGGTGTAGTATCTATATTAATTAAGTCATTTTCTTCAAAATTAACTTGAGACTAAACTTAGATCTATTAATTATGTAATGAAGTCTCATCCAATCCGAGTAAAACAGAGATCAATTAAGGACAATTTTATCTATAATGGTCTCTATTTTATTCGGATTAGATGAGACTTCATTACATAATAAGATTACGTTTATTTAAAAAGTATGTAGTTATGTAAAAATGTATGGAGTTTGCGATAGAGCGAGCCCCTTTTCATTTTTTTTTTTTTTTTGAACAAATGAAATACGTAGAAGGTTTGTTTCTTTATTAATAAAAAGCAGTTTTAAAGATTTCAATTCCTTTAGTAAAAATATTAATTTATAGAGGTAGGGACATCTACCAGCCCTTAAGAGGGGGGAAGCGAAAAAAAAAATTTCCAGCGCCCCTTCTCGATCATCAAAGTTGCGTTGCCTTATCCTTTACTCCACTCCTTAAGGAACAATTGAAACTTAAAATTATGAATAAAAAATTAAAGAGCAAACATCGAAAAATTTTGTTCGAATCTAACAAAAATATAATTATTTAGTTTTTGTTCTTTAAATATTTTGTTCTTTTCTTCAATTCTATTTGCTGTTTTTGTTTTATGGGATGCTGAAAATAAATATCATTAAAAATTAATTTAGATTTTAATTGATTTTTTAAATTAAATTAAATTTACAAAATTCGTGTTCTGGGAAACTAATAAATTGTTAATAGATTCATTAATGAAATCTTAGCTAGAAACCATAAAGATCTTACATGATACAAATGCCCAAGCTAGAGAACAGTAGTCTTAACACAAATCACCTTAAACTGACATATATAATTATATTCATTTGCTTTTTTTCATCTATTGGAAATTCTCCTCTTATCTCTATTTCCTTACATATTGATGCAAATAAATGAATATGTGACGATGAAAAACAATATATTTGACGTGATAAAACATTTTTCGTCTTCTTTTAACATTTAAAGTGAAGTTTACAATGAAAATCATTCCATATTTGACGTTTTTCAAATAGCTTACACTCATTTTTTTAGATAAATGACAATTATACAATGATTATATTTTTTAAAATATCATTTTATTTAGCTTCTGTTACTGGAATATTAGGAGGAATCAGTAGTGTTGCTGTGAGATCAAGGCTTTCTAAACTAGTAAATCAAGCAGAGTTAAGTAAGTATATTTACATACATTTTAGAAATGTTTAGAATATAGTTTGATAAATATTTACATTTATTTATTAGGTAAAATATTTTCGTTATTAACCATTTGCGAAGCATTGACGCCCGCATTTTCCGCTGTTATTTTCAATGAACTCTTTGCGCAAACTGTTTCTACCTTTCCTGGAGCATCTTTTCTGACAATGTTTTTTCTCTTACTGTTGCCGGCAGTTATATTCATGTGAGTAAAACTTTTTCTATTTATTTATTTTGTATATATTTAAAACGTTGACAATGTTCCTTTTTTTCCAATTAGATGGATCAATAAACAATCACTTCCTCAAACATCATCTGCAGACATTAATGAAGGAGGTTACAGAATGGAAAGTTTCAATGAAACAGATGAAACGTTTAAAAGTTTTTCATAATTTACTCTATTAAAAATAAAGACATTTTCAACTTACGTTTGCTAACCAGTTTTTATGCATATATGCACTAAATTTCAGCATAGGATCATTATATATTTTTACTATTAAATATGCTTAGGCCTACTAGAAAAAAGATTCGGTTTCCTTACAATAAATTAAAATAGATCCATTTTTTCACCTTTTTACAAAAAAGGTCTAGAATTTATTTTCCTTAAATTTATGATTTATGTATCCGTTTGTCATAAAAATTTCTTTCCACTTTTTCCCGAGACTACAAATACTCGAGTACAAAGTAACTGGTTTCGACTTATTTCTACTTAAGAAATAGTTAAATAATTAAGTGATTAGGGAATTGGAACCAAACCAATCTCTAGTCCAGTACAGTGGGACTGATTTCTTCGAAATATTAGACGTAATAAAGACAGACATTTTTCCAGTTCAACGAGAGTGACCGAAAAGTCGTAAATTTTGGAAATTTCCGTGTACAACACCCGGTCCTAAAACGAATTAGTCAGAAAACAAACGACGGACAATCTATTAAAGTTTAACATGTTTGGACTTTTACAGCTATGATGAGAAACGTTTAAAATTTACAACAACCCTGTGGCGTCTTTTGAAGTGTATTAGTGATGCGACAAAAGAAGCATTTGACATAGACCGTTATCGGAACCCTCGGGATTTGGCAGCCCACGTGCATGTACAGTATACATACCGCACACCTAGCAGGACCGTCTCTGATTCCACTCGTAGGGAGCTATTTGACTAAGTGGTTAAGATTTAAAGAGTAAAGAATATTTTATGTTATTTTTATGTACGTTTCATTACAAAGCTATACAGTCGACCCCCCGATAAAACGGGTTCCTATAGTTCGGATTCCTATATGACGGCGAGAAAATTGCGACGGTATCCGTACAAACATGGTAAAAAAAAACTCCTATAATTCGGTAAATCGTCATTGGGTAGCCGAATTACTTTCCGCCGTCCAGCGCCACGCTACGGAGAATTTAGGCGGGTAAATTGAGTTTACTATCGTCTGTACAGTATTATATATAAATCTATATATATATAAATGAATGTATGTGTGTCTGTCCTTCATGCATTACCACACCGTTTATCCAATTGCCGTGAAACTTTGGGAAGTTGTTTAATATACTCTGGCGAAGGTTTGTGGCATAGTACGATTGCCATAAAACTTTGGAAAGTTTTTTAATTTTTTAATGCACTCCCGCGAAGTACATTTATCCTACGATAGATGGCGCGCGTTTACACGAGCATTAGAGCACAGTGTGTCCGATCGATTTCAAATTGTGAAGACCATTTCCCCCTTCAAAAAATATCTCTATATATGTATTTGTGAACTGTTATTTACGATATTTATAATAATTTTTGTTTAATCACTTTATTTCAACTTTTTTTTGCTAATTATGTATTCGCTCGAACTTCGTTAAAACCTTAACTGTACCCCGAACAACAACCGAAGTTGTAGGAAGAAATTCGCGTATTTTACCGATCTAGGTATCCCCCCTTTTCCAAATTTTAATATCGACTCAAAATAATTTAAAAAGACAAATTACAATAAAACG